ATGTAATTGTGATGCTTCATTTTCAAGTGGCATAATAATTGTTTATTGCATGATGATTATTTTGAATTCACATCTCTACATCATTAAAAAAAATCTATTAAAAATGTTCAGTCAGAAATAACACTTGATATTTTTGATATAATAGAGTGGCAAATATTTGAGACACTCAATCAAGACTTGATTCAAACACATCTCATTAATTGAGAAACTTTAATTACTTAGGCATTTTTGAAGATAACTTTTATCTGAAAAATAAGCTTGATAACAATTTTTAAGTTATAGTAATTGTCAATTGAAAAGATTACTAAGAGGAATAGAGTCGTTTTTAGACTCCTAGAGATAGATTTTTCAGTTACTTTCAATATGTATACCTATTTGGAATAATGTAACATCCATTACTAAGTAGTCACGATGCGACAAACGTAACTAATTACATAATATACAGGATGACATTTAAATCGTTGGCATCCTTTCCTTTTAAACTAAGACTCTACGTATTATATTATCTGTGACTCTACTCATGGTATATACATTCCCTGAATATGAGACAAATCTAATGAACAAGTTCATTAAAATGTGTTAGTAGTTCCACTTTTTTTTAATAAATCAAACCAAAAACATGCAATTCTCAAGAAAAATCCAACAAAAAATACATAGGTCTAATACATTTTTTCCAGAATCTATCTCTTGTCAACTCAAACTAAAATAAAAATATAACAATGTAGGTACTTACTCCTACACATGTGCGTAGTCGGTTGAACGGACTTAATATTTTTTTTATTTTTTGTGCCTTAAAATATACCAGCAGGTAAGTTTTTCAAATAAAAACACAAAAAATAAGGTGACTTTATAGGCTATTTGTGGAACCAAACAAGTCAAGTCAGTGGACTTTTGATGTGATTGGTAAGAACCAAAAGATTTATATTATTGATTGGACGTTTAGTGACATCTGTCGTCTGGTAGTAGAATGATAAAAACACACTGCTTTTAAAGACATTGCGTTTATCATAGATGGCGCTTATCAGTTTTTTTACTGCTCGTTGCTAGATGGCGCTGTCTTACGAAATCTTTCTTTAAATAAGAATTAATTTTTATTGATTTCATTGGTTAATAATATCTATAATAATTAAGAAATTGCAGAAAACATCCCAAAAAATTAAAATATTGTTAGGAGCAATATTTTGCTGATATGTTTTTTTTGTTATGGAAATATGAACAAATAACCGTAATAAGTAGGTATGGCTAAAAGCGAAAGGTTGTTAGCCCATTTGAGGCAATGTATCTTTTTAAATTTAAAAATCGTAATATTATAGGTAAATAAGAAATAAAAAGTAGTTAGTATCAAGTTACCTAAGCCTCCTTAAATGAAAAATAATTTAGCTAAGTAGTGTCGGGAAACCTTACCCTTATTAACGGTTTCAATATATTCATCGTCAAAATCCAATTAGGCATAATTGCTGAAAGTGAATGAAGTGTAGATCAGCCGTTACAATATAAATAACTAGTATATTCATGAAAATAAGAGCGTTCTAAGAACTTTTGCCCACAAGGTGGACCGACGACATCATAAAGGTAGCAGGAAAGCGCTGGACGCAGGTCGCTACCAACCGGGTAACATGGAAAGCATTGGGGGAGGCCTATGTTCAACAGTGGACGTCCTATATGGCTGAGATGATGATGATGATGATAAACTTTTGCTAGAGTTTACATAACTACGTCAGCCTGAACTAGGTATTAGCTAAGTATCTAAGGGTGGATTCGACCAAACAAGAGTAAATATTAATCTCAGAAGAAATCGTCAGTTATTCGACATTTTGACATTTCCCATATTGAAACTGTCAATGTGCCAGTTATACCAGGAGTTATTCTCGGATAAAAGTTTTGTCAAATCGGGCCTAAGTGGTTTTTTATTAAAACCAGTGGTAGGTACCTATGATCATATTTTGTTTTTTTTTAATCCACAACGAGGACGCTCTTGGCATGTATCTCACCTGATGGTAAGTGACGATCAGGCCGAGGGTGGAAGCGAGTTTCACCCGGAATCCTCAACCACAGAAGAACAGCAGTTACCAGCATTGTTGTGTTCCAGCAGTTAGATGTAAGATAGCCAGTATCTTAATTGTAACTGCTGGAACACAACAATGCTGTTAACATTGTTGTTATGGCGACTGACTTAGATAAGATGGTGGTAGCTAGCCAGGTGGACTTAGAACAAGCCCTACCACCAACCAAACCGAACAGAAAAATCTGCTCCCACTGAGAATGGAATCCGGGACCTCTGCGTCTGAAGCAGGTGGTTTTACCACTAGACTCTAGCTACACCGAGGCGGTTAGTGTTTGAAATTTTCTAAAATTAGTAAGTAGCTCAGATCATAGAAAGAGAATAGATATGAAGTCGCGCGTAACTACAACGAGAACCAGTGTCCCCACATTTCCCCCACCAAAGCACACACATTCAACTGTGTAAAAACAAAGCGACTGAGAGTCTACGACAACATGTGCAACCGGCTTAAAACTTCTGGCCAATTAATGGCCGCGTGACGTGACGCACACTTAGAAAACGCTAGTGAGAGAACAAAGATAAAATAGAGTCGACAAGATATCGATACTTTAAATCGCTAGGGGCAAGGCTCGAAACTGGTTTCACAAAATGCTTATGTATTATTGAAAACCTTTTTATTATTATACGTTATTATTTACTACTATCACGCATTTATTTTTTAATTATGGCGATCTGCGTACAAATATAAAATCTTATAATCAAATGTAAAATCTTATAATCGCAAGTAACACATCATTTTTTTAATTAAAATTACAAAATAGAAAATTATAATTTACTTCTATCTATCGATAATAGGAAACCGCATTAGAACACGAGCACGGCACTATGTTACGACCGGCACATGCGGCCGTACTGTGTAAATACACATGTGTAATCACACGAATAGTGGATATCGGAAGAAATTAAATACATTGCGCAGTAGTTGAGCATGACATAAAGTGGTTGCTAACTAAATCGTCAATGTACAAGCGTGTTTAGAATTTTTATCACCACTGATTTCGATATCGCAGTAACTGTTACGGCACTGAATTCGTTCGTAAAAATGTTTAGTTTTTTTATTTATAAGCAAAATACCAATGGATTTGCAATACTTACATGTAGTAAATGACTCCATTGTTCCTGTAGTTCGTCGTTTCACTTGTTTTATNTCAAAATGTACAAGTTAAGCGCTTTCAAATGATACCAAACACGGCATATTTATCTTAACTTTATTTTTTAACTCTGTATGTTTTGTCCACTAGAGGGCGCCACATTAGATTTTGTGAAACCCCATATAGCCTATAACCAGCGGACAATTGAGACGCTTCTAATGATATGTCATTTGTCGAATTCTGATAAGTAGTTTAGAAGTTACGGGGGAACACATGAACATACATACATACATACATACATAGCCTGTCAAAATCATAACCCTCCTTTGGCTTTGCCGTAGTCGGGTAAAAAGTATACTTAAATTGAGCCTATACTTAAACAAATGGTAAATTTTTAAAAGAGGTAATTTTCAGATGGTCAAAATATCAAAACACTTTATCAAGAGAACATATAGGTGTGCCTCACGCAGGCCCTCCCTGAGGTTTCGGAGGGCTCTGTTACTGTTATTATCATCATCATTTTAGGACGTCCACTGCTAAACATAGGCCTTCCCCAATGACTTCCACATAGCACGGTTGGTAGCGGCCTGCATCCAGCGCCTTCCATTGTTATGGAGATTATTTATTTACTTTTTAGCAATAAAACACAGCGGTTTTATACATGTCCAAAATATAATATAATCAAAGAAAAAAGATGCAAGAAAATACAAAAGAGTAAAATACAAATAGAAAAAATGGATGTGCGTTCTGCACGTGCACGGTAGATTATTAACAAACCGGGGGAAGGTAAGGGCTACTTAGCCCAAGAAATGAAATAATACCTATTCTAGTCCTATATTACTCGATAAAGCATATCCTTTAGGTCTAACTGCTTAAATATTAATACGTCACCGAGACATAGAATAAACCAGACAGATGATTCAGAATCATATAGATATGATATGAAAGCCGAGCTATTCCTAACACGGGGCGAAACCTGTGCGTTGAATTTATTTAGGTATTTTGGATAAGGGTTGGCTTGACTATCTTATGACTCAGCGTGACGCGGAAGTAAACAGAAGCGAATCAAGTTTACATAATGGTATTTGTACCATCGCGACACCGTCAGAAAACCTTCGATATGAGGTTTTCCATGGCTTATCCTGTAAATCTTTGAATGGAGTCTGTCTGTAACTGAACTGAATTTAGTTATAAAGAGACCTACTTATTCCATACTAGCTTTCCGCCCGCGTGGAATTTTGTCTGTCACGGAAAAACTTTATCGCGCGCGTCCCTATTTAAAATACCGGGATAAAAACTATCCTATGTCCTTTCCTATGGACTCAAAGTTTGTTGATAGTATTTCTCAACATGATTTGGAAAAAATGTAAAGGGTTTCTGTAAGTAATATTTAAGAAGTAGTGCATAAAAAACTCATTTATTTTTGCAAATAGGCTTTTGAAAAGAACTTTTACACGTCCCGGTATTAACCCTACCACTGCTTCGGGACAATATGTGGGCCTGTGCTGAGAAGCAGCGCAAGAAACTCAGTCACTGTTGCAGCTGATGGACGTCTTATTTACTTAAAACTTTTACCTCTAGCATGAACAACTTTCGTCATCGAATCGTTTGCATATTCGACAAGATTCGATACTCAAGCTTCGAATTAAAAGATAACGTGACAATATTGATTCTCAAAATAAGTTTCGTGCCATCATTTCTCATACTAAGTTCACTTTACAACACGTTCACAAGGCCGCTGTTGTAGTTTTCGTACTGAATCTTTTGATGGCGATTCGAATACGCAAACGATTCGAACTCGAAAGTTTTTTGTGCTAGCCGTACAGTAAATAAATAAATAAACTCACTGAACATCTCGCAGCAGTGCAGAATGGTGCAGGTGACAGTGTAGAGGATGCATAGCATCAAGAACGGCAGGAACAGCATTAGGTACTCCATGGTTGAGGATCGACTGACGCGCGCGTGGTGTAATATCGACGAATTTAATTATCTGGTGTGGCGGGTCAAGGGTGGATTAGGCAGTTCGTGAAATGACCGAATTTGTTCGTTCCATGTTTTTACTGAGGTAAACTAATCATGTTTCCATGGGGGCCGTTTTATAAATCGCCACTTTTAGATATTTGAATAAGCTTTGCATAATTGACAGTTTTACAAATTATTTATCGATTTCAAAAGGGTGTTCTAAAAAAAGAAAAGTTCAGTATGATAGTATGTTTTTTGTTATTTAATATGTTTCTCATAAATTATTTATCTTAATCTCATTATACCTATCTTATAGGTATTTATGCTCAAAACTGTGCAGAAGAAATTAAGTAGGTACGATCTACGATATTCTCAGTTTGGCCCTAAGGTTGACTGGAGGAGAATGCCGACTGGCATTAAGTCTGCCTTATGTACAGTGTTATGTTCTAATTAAATAAACAAATCCAATAATTAATGTAAACAAATGTAGTGAAAATCTTTCTTGTTGTACCGCAACAATCAAATCTTATCTAATTCGGTTTAACGCTTAACAAATATGATACATACAGGCAGTTTTTTTATTGAATATTTTGTTTATCATTCTTACGTATGGTTTTGTAGTTAATAAAATTGATTATCAGATAGCGATTAATTTATCATTTGCTTTGTTCCGCTATCAAATAGAGTGGTTGCTAAAATATGTGTTTCAATAAATAAGAATTATTGTACTGAAAAACATGTACTTACTACATTATTAATCCATGATAGACATACCTAGATGACTATTGGCCCTTGACCTTCTCAATACACTAGTATTATATTATCTGTGTCAATACTAAAGGAGTTGAAACCTACTTTTAAACTAAAAGGTTTTTAAACAGAAAGAGTTACGGGACTATTCCCACCTCTCATTCCCACCTCTCATTCCCACCGCTGCAACTCCTGTGTAGCCAGGATCTACAGATTGACCGCCAATAAAAACCTAACCAGTGAAAAAGAAAAAGAGTTGTCAATACTTTGTTGCTTCATTTTCACTTTGAGGCAGGGCAGTAACATACACCGGGGAACCAAACGCAGGTGACCGTACCATCCCTACATAGTCGACATTTCAAAAACTCGTGAGTAATGTAGCTTTCGAATGGTGAAAGAATTTTTAAAATCGGTCCAGTAGTTTTTGAGCCTATTCATTACAACCAAACAAACAAACAAAGTTTTCCTCTTTATAATATTAGTGTAGATATGATACTCCACGATTTAACCTTTTGAACCATGTCGCCTCTTCTCACGTGGCATGTCACTCTTATCGCATGCCACTTAGGTCTTATGTCAGTGATTGGAGGGATCACAAGGTAATTAAAATTTCCCGATGACGTAGTGACGCGATGAATCACGTCAAACATTTAGTCACAGGTTCAATTCTTAGGCAAAGTTGCACCATCTCACTTTAATTTGACAAGCGTCAAAAATCTGTCAAACTCTATACAAAAAACACCGGTTATCTTTAAACTTAGGTACAGTTCTTTTAGAAAGCCTCCTACTAGGTGGACTGACGATCTGGTAAAGGTCGCGTGAAGAGCCTGGATGCGGGCAGCGCAGGACCGCTCATTATGGAAAACCTTGGAGGAAGCCTTTGTCCAGCAGTGGACGTCATTTGGCTAAAACGAACGAACGAACGGTTCTTTTAAGTTGGTGCAACTCAGACTTAGTTTAACGGTATTATCCCGTTTTTATAGAGCCTTGATTTCATTCCCTAGTTCTTTATTTGTTTTATACTTTATGTTATTGTAATTTTCCAAAGAAATTGTCTTGACACTTAATTTGCAAATAATACAAATGTTCTATGTTTATATGCCGATTTTGCAAAAACTAAACGCATTCGTACATAAATATATTAATTATTCATTTTTAAGACAGGCTATGAGGACTTATTTAACAAACCCATCATAATAGTAGATTGGACATTTTGGGAATTGGACGTTTCGGGAACTGGACATTTCAGGAATTGGACATTTCGGGAATTGGACATTTCGGGAATTGGACATTTTGGGAATTGGACATTCCGGGAATTGGACATTTTGAAACCGTTGGACATTTTGGGAATTGGACATTCTGAACCTGAAGGAATTCTTTTGATTGATTTTTGATACGACAAAACAATAAATAATCGAGTAATGTCTTCGGCACCTTAATGATAATAAAACTAATCAAAATATTCAAGTTTAATCAACAAGGTGAGTGTTTACTAATTGTAATCTGAGGACTTTAAAATCTAGTGATCCATTTTTTGGTCTCATGAGTTCTATGAACATCGTGTGACATGGTTTATGACAAAGACACAAAAACTGAAATTCAGTACTTACTGTCAGAACAATATGTGCTAATTTAACGTTTCAAGAACGTTATTGAAGTGCATGGCCATTTTTAGGTACGTCATGTTATCATTTCGTGGACTTTTCATCAAGGCATGAAACTGTGACAAGCAGCATCAAAAAGTCTTATTTGTTGGTTGCTAGGTGTCTTTTTAAAGGGTCAAAGTTTTTCTTAAAGGTTACTTAAACCTTTGTTTTGTCTCCTGTCATCCGCATTGCACTGGAGGGAAGTCGAACCTTAACATCGAACTCCTCCTATGTTCTTCTGATTAATTTCGTTGCGGGTTCAATGACAGTTTGACTTTCCCCCGGGACAAACTTGACCTTCACTGGTTGGGTTTGTATTAGCGATCAAGCTGTAGATCCTGGCTACACAGGAGTTGCAGCGGTGGGAACGAGAGGTGGGAATAGTCCCGTAAATATTGTATAGGTTTAAAAAATTTAAGTTTTTAAAGAAAGTTCGAAGTAGGTATCTCTGATGTATGTACCTATATGACTGATCGTACTTAAGCTTTTCCGCCCGTATGGTTAATATGATCACCATCAAACTGCATATATGAAGGCTAGGTAATTNCACGCATTGGTCAAATACTTTCGACTTAAGACACTGCAAGCAGCATCAAAAAGTCTTATTTGTTGGTTGCTAGGTGTCTTTTTAAAGGGTCAAAGTTTTTCTTAAAGGTTACTTAAACCTTTGTTTTGTCTCCTGTCATTCGCATTTCACTAAAGAGAAGTCGAACTTTAACTCTTCTTATATTCTTCTGATTAATTTAGTTAGGTCAATGACAGTTTGATTTTCCCCCGGGACAAACTAGACCTTCACTGGTTGGGTTTTTATTGGCGGTCAAGCTGTAAATCCTGGCTACACAGGAGTTGCAGCGGTGGGAACGAGAGGTGGGAATAGTCCCGTAAATATTGTATAGGTTAAAAAAATCAAGTTTTTAAAGAAAGTTCAAAGTAGGTATCTCTGATTTATGTACCTATATGACTGATCGTTAAGCCTTTCCGCCCGTATGGTTAATATGATCGCCGTCAAACTGCATAGATGAAGGCTAGGTAATTTGATAAGTTAGTTGTAACTATTTTAAACACCGTCAATTAATTTAATTCAAACTCATTAACTGCCGTTAACTAAAAATAATTATGAGAGCATGAAGGCGTCAGAAGATGATGCTAAACAACAACAACAACATTTTGGTTGAAAATTCACTCTTAATATAATGCAATGGTATAAGATGCCGCTATATTTAGCTCGATGTGCTGTCGTCGGTACATCATACATTTATATTATAGAGCTGAAGAGTTTGTTTGTTAGCTTGAACGCGTTAATCTCAGGAAGTACTGGTCCCATTTGAAAAAGTATTTTTGTGATGGATAGCCCATTTATAGAGAAAGGCTTTAAGCTATATAACATCTAACATTACTGCTGGGAACCGATAGGTGGACCAACTTGTCTATATTTTTATACTTTTTTTAATTCTTTTTGATACCTTTTGTTTTCAAGTTTGAGTTTTTGTTTTTGATAGCCGTCTGGGCATTTTATGCAAAAATAAACCTTTATTTCAACCGAAGGTATTTTTAGTTATTTTTACCCGCCCGAGCGGCTGTCCACCACAATCACTCTATAGCTAATAGGGGTGGAACAGTAAAGAAAAATGTTTCAAAGATACCCGTTTTTGAAACATTTTTCTTTTTTATTCAAATTATTAAATTGTAAACGCAAGTTGTGTTCGCCAGTAAGTGACTTTACATAATTTAGTAAGATACCTCTAGATTAAGTTTGAAATTATCTAACATTAGTGTATAAGCAGTTGGTGGAGCTTTTTTATAAAATAAAATAAAAATAAATAAAACCATTTTTACGCGTACGAAGTTGCGGGCACAGCAAGTAATAACATCATACAACAAAACAGTAAAAAGAACAACAAACTCACGCTCACAGAACAGGCAACACCTCACAGAGAAACATGTGGCAGCGATCACGCTCACCACCGTCAGCAAGTAGAAGTACAACGTCACGTCCATCGCGCTTAGAGCCCCGCAGCCGAATCGGACACTTATCGTCGACCACAATTAATACGTCGTTAAACATTGATAGTGGTATATTCATTTATAATTTTAGATCCAAGCGCACGACAGACGATCTGATAATGACGTTAGATGCAGAGAGCTTGCAATTGGCCGTTTTTAGGGGGAAGCCTATGTTCATCAGGTAAACCTATGCCTTATCAACATCATTATCAAATGAAGCGACGATAGCCCAACGTTGAAGGTGACTGAGTTTCTTCTGCCACTATTTGGGACGTATACAAGCGACTTGGAAAAGTTTTAGAATATATTTATTCTATTTAATTAAAAACAGAGTAATAACAAGCAGAATATCAACATCACAACTCGTTTATTTTCTCCGAAGTGTCAATCGTATTCCAATGTACAAACAGAAGATTTTCCGTGGTTACTAGAAATGAGGGTTCTACCAACAAAAGAGCCTGTACTGAATAAATGATTTGTTTGACTGGTCGACTTGAGATCCAAGGAATGCTGGTTCAAACGTTTCCGCGCTGGACTATTGTGGAAAACCCACATGTAACACAAACATACTTTAGGTTATCACGAGGAGTTAACAGTACTAGTAATTTTGT